ACTCATTACAGCAGTCTACAATGTCCACACCCCGTGGAAATCTACTTAGCATAATAGCAAAATCCCCATTGAAAGATGTCAGTGCGACAGCGGTTTGTCAGACCATTAGACATGCTGAAAATTGGTCCTCTCATGAAAATGTCTGTGGTGTCAGAAAGGTTTGGCATACAAACTACTATGACCCCTTTATGGAAAGATGAAACCCTCCCGAACACGATGGTGTTCTTCGCTGTACGACCCACAGAAGCACCATGGGACCCTTCTGAAGTCGGTACCGCCGATCTGCCAAATTCTGTCTGTAGCGTCCGAACAGTTTGGGCTACACACTAATATGACCCCTCTATGGAAAGGTTAGACTTTTATTTTATGGCTGGTTATGACACCTACATACTGTAAGTTTCAAACCCACCACACAAGGCAAAACATTCCATTACACCATATCCTACTTGTCAATAGTATGTTTATATTATATAACATTTTCTTACCATATTAAATTATCATTGTAATTGCGCACACATTGATGTCAGACATGCACCAACCCCAATGCTCAGTTGCTGATGACTGGGATGAATGCAGGAGCAGATTTCAGGAGCAGGACAAGACACCCTCTTTTTGACTGATGACTGACAATGACATGTAGTGATAGGCTTATCTGGCTTATATGATTATGATGTCATGATGCTTCTGGACAGTGTGTTAAAGTGCATTTACTTAGTCCAATTAAAGTGACACAGAATGGTCATAATGCTTCATGACAGTGTCAAAGTGTATTTTCTACAAGTTATTTAAAATTTGATAGAAAAAAAAAATGACTGTAAAGAATTCATTACAACAACAACAAAGGATTTTAAGAAACAAACTTTCAAACGTAAGGAAACTTCTTGGCAGGGAAAAAACACATTTGAATAAATGTGGGTTTTGACACTCTTATGTAGGTGTCATAACCAGCCATGAAATAACGCAATATATGTCAAAACAGATGTAAATAGATGGGTCATGAAAGTGTTATGACCATATTATCACAGGTTATGACACATTAGTTATGACATACAGTATTGTGACATGGTTATGACTTGTCATAACGTGTTATGACGCTGGGTGTCAAGTGTTACCGTTTTTGTACCTTTCAAAGTAAATTGATGTCAGTTGATACATTCATGATGTAAAATATATAGAAGTTTACATTATTCTCAAACTATATAAGTAAACTAGACACTATACAATTTTGGATCAGTAGTTATCAGTTTTGAGCAGTTTAATTAAGTCAGAGTTAAATATATTGTTAACAAAAGACAAGAAAAACACATCAAAATAAATATGAATATAACATTATGAACAGCAGATACTTCGATTCTATGTATATATACACTACCGGTCAAAAGTTTTAGAACAACTACTCATTCAAGGGTTTTTCTTAATTTTTACTAGTTTCTATACTGTAGAATAATAGTGAAGACATCAAAACCATGAAATAACACATATGGAATTGTGTAGAAACCAAAAACTGTTAAAGAAATGAAAATATATTTTAGATTTGAGTTTCTTCAAATAGCCACCCTTTGCCTTGATGACAGCTTCGCACACTCTTGGCATTCTCTCAACCAGTTTCATGAGGTAGTCACCTGGAATGCATTTCAATTAACAGGTATGTCTTCTTAAAAGTTAATTTGTGGAATTTCTTTCCTTCTTAATGCGTTTGAGCCAATCATTTGTGTTGTGACAAGGTAGGGGGGGTTTACAGAAGATAGCCCTATTTGGTAAAATACCAAGTCCATATTATGGCAAGAACAGCTCAAAAAAGCAAAGAGAAACAACAGTCCATCATTACTTTAAGACATGAAGGTCAGTCAATACGGAACATTTCAAGAACTTTGAAAGTTTCTTCAAGTGCAGTCGCAAAAACCATCAAGTGCTATGATGAAACTGGCTCTCATGAGGACTGCGACAAGAATGGAAAACCCAGAGTTAATTCTGCTGCAGAGGATAAGTTCATTAGATTTACCAGCCTCAGAAATTGCAGCCCAAATAAATGCTTCACAGAGTTCAAGTAACAGACATCTCAACATCAACTGTTCAGAGGGGACTGTGTGAATCAGGCCTTCATGGTCGAATTTCTGCAAAGAAACCACTACTAAAGCACACCAATAATAAGAACAGACCTGATTGGGCCAAGAAACACGAGCAATGGAAATTAGACTGGTGGAAATGTGTCCTTTGGTCTGGAGTCCAAATTGGAGATTTTGGGTTCCAACCGCCGTGTCTTTGTGAGACGCGGTGTGGGTGAACGGATGATCTCCACATGTGTATTTCACACCGTAAAGCATGGAGGGGGAGGTGTTATGGTGTGGGGGATGCTTTGCAGGTGACACTGTCTGTAATTTATTTAGAATTCAAGGTGCACGTAACCAGCATGGCTACCACAACATTCTACAGAGATACGCCATCCCATCTGGTTTGAGCTTAGTGGGACTATCATTTGTTTTTCAACAGGACAATGACCCAACACACCTCCAGGCTGTTTAAGGGCTATTTTACCAAGAAGGAGAGTAATGGAGTGCTGCATCAGATGATCTGGCCTGCACAATCCCCCGACCTCAAACCAATTGAGATGATTTGGGATGAGTCAGACAGCAGAGTTAAGGAAAAGCAGCCAACAAGTGCTCAGCATATGTGGGAACACCTTCAAGACTGTTGGAAAAGCATTCCAGGTGAAGCTGGTTGAGAGTATGCCAAGAGTGTGCAAAGCTGTCATCAAGGCAAACGGTGGCTATTTGTAGATTCTCAAATATAAAATATACTTTGATTTGTATACTTTTGTTTTTACTAGATGATTCCTTATGTGTTATTTCATAGTTTTGATGTCTTCAGTATTATTCTACAATGTAACAAATAGTAAAAAATAAAGTGTCCAAACTTTTGACTGGTAGTGTGTGTATATATACAGTGAGGGAAAAAAGTATTTGATCCCCTGCTGATTTTGTACGTTTGCCCACTGACAAAGAAATGATCAGTCTATAATTTTAATGGTAGGTTTATTTGAACAGTGAGAGACAGAATAACAACAACAAAATCCAGAAAAACTCATGTCAAAAATGTTATAAATTGATTTGCATTTTAATGAGGGAAATAAGTATTTGACCCCCTCTCAATCAGAAAGATTTCTGGCTCCCAGGTGTATTTTATACAGGTAACGAGCTGAGATTAGGAGCACACTCTTAAAGGGACAGCTCCTAATCTCAGCTTGTTACCTGTATAAAAGACACCTGTCCACAGAAGCAATCAATCAATCAGATTCCAAACTCTCCACCATGGCCAAGACCAAAGAGCTCTCCAAGGATGTCAGGGACAAGATTGTAGACCTACACAAGGCTGGAATGGGCTACAAGACCATCGGCAAGCACCTTGGTGAGAAGGTGACAACAGTTGGTGCGATTATTCGCAAATGGAAGAAACACAAAATAACTGTCAATCTCCCTCGGCCTGGGGCTCCATGCAAGATCTCACCTCGTGGAGTTGCAATGATCATGAGAACGGTGAGGAATCAGCCCAGAACTACACGGGAGGATCTTGTCAATGATCTCAAGGCAGCTGGGGCCATAGTCACCAGGAAAACAATTGGTAACACACCACGCAGTGAAGAACTGAAATCCTGCAGCGCCCACTAGGTCCCCCTGCTCAAGAAAGCACATATACAGGGCCGTCTGAAGTTTGCCATTGAACATCTGAATGATTCAGAGGAGAACTGGGTGAAAGTGTTGTGGTCAGATGAGACCAAAATCGAGCTCTTTGGCATCAAATCAACTCGCCGTGTTTGGAGGAGGAGGAATGCTGCCTATGACCCCAAGAACACCATCCCCACCGTCAAACATGGAGGTGGAAACATTATGCTTTGGGGGTATTTTTCTGCTAAGGGGACAGGACAACTTCACCGCATCAAAGGGACGATAGACGGGGCCATGTACCGTCAAATCTTGGGTGAGAACCTCCTTCCCTCAGCCAGGGCATTGAAAATGGGTCGTGGATGGGTATTCCAGCATGACAATGACCCAAAACACACGGCCAAGGCAACAAAGGAGTGGCTCAAGAAGAAGCACATTAAGGTCCTGGAGTGGCCTAGCCAGTCTCCAGACCTTAATCCCATAGAAAATCTGTGGAGGGAGCTGAAGGTTCGAGTTGCCAAACGTCAGCCTCGAAACCTTAATGACTTGGAGAAGATCTGCAAAGAGGAGTGGAACAAAATCCCTCCTGAGATGTGTGCAAACCTGGTGGCCAACTACAAGAAACGTCTGACCTCTGTGATTGCCAACAAGGGTTTTGCCACTAATTACTAAGTCATGTTTTTGCAGAGGGGTCAAATACTTATTTCCCTCATTAAAATGCAAATCAATTTATAACATTTTTGACATGCGTTTTTCTGGATTTTTTTGTTGTTATTCTGTCTCTCACTGTTCAAATAAACCTACCATTAAAATTATAGACTGATCATGTCTTTGTCAGTGGGCAAACGTACAAAATCAGCAGGGGATCAAATACTTTTTTCCCTCACTGTATATATATATTATTATAATTTGTTTGAGTGATTTGGTGCAGGGAACAAGTGACTTGGTGCATTTCTTTGTTGTACTCAGTCAATTGAAACATCTGTTTTGATTTGTGTGCTAAAAGTTGTGAAAATAAACCACATACTAGTGAAAATTGCACCAAAGTGATTGAAAAACAATATCAGAGGGTAGCAACAAGAAGCAAAACACACCGTTTGTATTTATCAGCAGAATGCAATGTCAGTAGATAAATCCAACCAATGTCCAATCTATTAGCTACATAAATTAACGTCCAACAATGTCAAATATATACTGTAATCAGCCTTTGTTTATAACTGTTAATGACCTTCAACATTCTTACTGAAACATTATTGCCTCCTTTTTCAGAGTCCATGCCACCACATGAAGAACAACTAATATTCAGAAAACTGGTTCAGCTTGGGACGGGAGACAATAAAGATGGCACACAATAAGGGGTCATCTTTGTCCAATGCCAGAGGTCGTGAAATTTATGTTGGAAGGGAATTCAGGGATTCCATTTCACTTCTGGATGTTTTGTACGCAAATGAATTTGAAGAAGAGGACATAAACTCAGCAGTAGCTAAGAAGACAGAGGCAGATTTTTACAGAGGAGCCCCACCTCAATGGCTTAACTTCTACTGGGATGAAAGGGCAACGTCAGTTGATAAAACAACCCCCTTTATCAAAAGAGACGGTTACAGTGAGCTGATAAAAAATATTCAGAAACGGCGTAAGAGAGACCTCACTTCTACCATCAAGCTGCTGCATCAGCCAGGCAGCGGGGGGACCACTCTGGCCAAGCAGGTGCTCTGGGATATGCGTAAAAAGCTCAGATGTGCTGTTCTAACAGGCCCTACCTCAGACATCACCGCTATCGCCAAGCAGGTGATTCACCTTTTCACTGCAGGCAGTCAACGCAACCAGAACACTGTGCTCTTAATGCTGGAAGATGAGTGTATTCAGCAGAATCTGCAGGATGCCATCATGAAAGAGATTGTAGAGAGAAACATCACGACCCACGTGCCTGTGGTCATCATTCTAAACTGTGTACGTAAGGCAGTTATCAAACAAGAGGACCAAAACAACTCAAGACATGTTATTCTCAGGAAGGAACTTTCTGAAGCAGAGAAACAACAGTTTGAGGAGAAACAGATTGAGATCAGTCGAAGGTACAGCAATAAACACAAACTGTTTCATGGCTTTAACATAATGCGAGAACATTTTAGTGGCGATTATGTTAGAAAAATGTGTGCCCTTTTCGGAGATGTCAGGAAAAATAGAAAGAAATCCCTTCTTGCATTCTTATCACTGGTGAATGCCTACGTCCCTGGCTCCCACCTTCTGCAATCTCAATGTCAGGCATTCCTTGGACCTCCAGATCCCATTTACGGAGGTCCTTCCTTTGAGCAGCGAATGCAGCCTTTCACTCATCTGATAGTGACATTCCCTTCACAACAGGGACAAGACAAACATGTCCGCATGGCTCACCCACTGATTGCACAGCAGTGTGTTGAGTTACTGGCTAAGGAGGGTGTGACCAGGAGTGATACAGCAGAGAACTTTCTGACAGACTTTTGTGGAGAACAGGTGCAGCAACATTTGATGCCCGTCATCAAAGACATGCTAACTAAGAGGGAAATCACAGTGGATGATCAGAAAAGGGAAAAGGGAAATGAGAGGAAAGACACGTTTTCCAGGTTGATTCATGATATTGAAGCCAATGAATCCAAAAGCGAATGTGTATCTGTTTTACAATTAGCTTCAGAGAAATTCATTCAAGACCCATTTTTCCTCAAGCTCTTGCTCGTTTCTTTTACATTGAGTTGAAAGAGTATTTCAATGCGGAGAATTGGGCAAAAATAGCGAAAGACAGAGATCTTAACAATTCATTTGTTGCTGACACACTGGGGCAAGTATACAAGAACCATTTGAAGAGCAGGATCAAGAACCATTTGAAGAGCAGGGTCCATGATTCTTCCATCTCTGCACAAGACATTTTGGAAATGGCTGAAAAGGCCTTTGAGGCTTTCAAAGATGAGGAAAGGGCTGCTGAAAATGAGCAAGGAGCAGACATGCAAGATGATGGTATGACCAATGTCTCACACATATTCAACAGCAGAGGATTATTTGGTTATCTACAAGTTGCCAACATTGTTTTTGACTCGCTTGTATCTCTTGATAAAACCTGGCGAAAGGTCCTTACCATGGAAATATCAGCTGACTCCTTCTTCATATCAACTGGACAAAAAAAGCTCTTCAAGTACAAGTCACTCATCAGCAGCCTCAGGGATGAGGTGGAGAGGATATGTGAGTTTTTTGATGGTTACCTGACTTACTCCAAGCCCAGCATAGAGAAAAATGAACCAAATTACTTTCAGACTGACGTCAAGAACTGCTACTGCAAATACGTGGGGACATGCACACCTATACACTCAAAGTTTGCAATAGGTATACCCCTCCAGAAGCTCAAAGAAGAAATGGCCATTACCTTCCCTGGACTGCTTTCCTGTCTTGATAAGGGCTATGATGAATCTCACTTGCGCCGAATAACAATATTGTGGAAGGAAATAAAGAAAGATGGTGACAACAAAGCCACCCAAAATTTCATCCTTGCCAACATCATCTTAAGTGAAGTGGAAGCAGCATCTCCAATTCTTACCCCTTTGCCAATCCTAAGAGGTATTCTGGAAAGACATCTATTGGCTAATTTCGGTAACCAAACCCCAGAGTTTTACTTCTTAGTCCTTTTGCTGTTTTGGCCCGAGGAACATGAGAAAATGGGATTCGATGTTGACCTCAACAAATGTGTTCTAGAGATGCAAGAGTCCTACAAAAACATGTGCAAGAAGCATCTTCGCTCAAGGTACCTTCGCCCCCTTATTTTCCTGGGAAAGGGTGAGGGTGTGAGCAGACTGACTCATAGATCAAAAATAGACAACCTATTGGTAAAGGAGAATCCAATGGCAGGGCCAGACTTTATCACACAAAAATGGGCCATTGGTGACATGTGGAGTGAACCCAGTGTCCAGGATATTCTTCTTCCAGTCAATGGAGTGGTTAGACAGCACAGGGTGATTGCGCTCGTTGATGGCAAGGAGATTGAAGTTTGTGCCAACCAACGAAGCAAAGTTTGGAAGTCCGGAGACGTCTGCTTCTACCTTGGCTTCACCATAAGAGGTCCTGTGGCCTATGGCATCCACTACCCATCCCATTCAGATAGGATTAAAGAGGAGGAGCCTCGTAAAAAGTTGGAAGTACCTGACATCAAATCGATCAAAGACGGTAAGACAGTTCTAATTCTAATGTATCTCTATATTCTCTCACTCGTGTTCAAGTTCTTGATATTTTAATATGTGTATACACAATACAGTGACACGAGCGTCCAACCCACCAATCTGCACAGGGGAAACAGTGACGCTGGGAGCATTTTTAACTCATCTCATGGAGATCATTGTCAGCACTAAATATCATTGTTATGATATTTGTGATATCATTGAATTTAAAATGCTTTGTGTCCCAGGAAATTAAGACCACTGTATTATCACTGAGGTTAGTGCTTGGTGTGGTTGATTTTCTGATTGATGTGTCTGTCCCCAGGGCCTGTGAGAAGTTGCACAACATGTGCAAATGTGATGGTGAGTTAATGCTTGTTACAATAGTAGTAGACACGTTTTTGACAAATGCAACTTTTTACCACCATGTATGTTGACTGTGCTCTTTATTCATGAATATAAAATAGGTTTCAAGAAAATAAAAAATATGGTGGGGAAATTCTACATTTTGCTCCATTTTCACATAGAATTACCCAGCTGGCAGCTGCCCTCTTAGAAAAAAGGATTACAAAAGCGTTTTTTGCAGAGGGATAGGGTTCTACCAAGAACCATTTTCATCTGAATAACTTTTTTGGGGAGACAAGGGCTCTTTATAAGGCAAAGGGTTCTACCTAGAACCTTTAACATGCTAAGAACCATTTTTGGAAGAAAATGTTATTTTGATTATGTTTTTTTTAAGGCAAGAAGGATTCTTTGGAAGACAAGAAGCTTCTGAATCTGAATAAGCATATTTATTGTAATTTCTTTATTTTACGTAGTGCCTGAGCATTTGTGTTTACCTCAGTGTTTAAAATGTAACATCAGGAGTTTGAGTAATCTGAAAAGTAAAAAAAGATAGGTGAGTAATCCTATATGGGAATATTTGTGCATGTATCTGGTATTCCCTTAATCATTTTACATGTAACTGACATAGTGGTGTAAAAGAACCCCAGTGTTGATATTAATAACCAGAGTTGAGTGTAGTTGTCATTTCTACTCTATGTAGAGTATAACATTCAAAACCTCACCCATCATAATCATATTTCCCAGTATGCTCTATTGCAGGTTGATGTTCAGAATTGTTTGTTTTAATATCTGTGTTTTTGCATGTAGATTGATTGGTTGATTAATCTTATGCTACACAATGATAAATAACATAAATGTTTCTAAACTAATCCAATCTGTTAGTAGTTGGACTTATTGCACCTGTTATTATTATTATTATTATATTATTATTATTATTATTATTATTACTGGGATTGTTGTTCCAGTTTAGATTTAGGTAGTCTCATTTATAAATCATCCCTACCCTGGCAGTCATTCTGAATGCAGGTTGCAAGTGATAAAAATATAATTGTTGGATATCCTCACTCTGGATGGATTCCAATAGGAATTACACATCACTTTGCAAGCGAGCATAATGTGACTTGCAGGCCTGACGTGGCCTGTAAACCAGGAGTTTCCTTCCACTTTTTTTTTTTAGAGCGTACTGTTCAAATCAGAGACCATTCTTCATTCAATTAAAAATGAATGTATAGAATAAGGTCTACAAAAGTGTAAAAGGCAAGTAAGGCAAATAAACCTACAAAGTACATCCTTTCCACTACGATGTTTTAAGAATTATGTCATAAATACAGCTTGATAATCTGTAATCATCAGAGATCAATGTTCTCTTATTCAGGAATCTGCCAACTGGGTTCAGGTTGAACCTATGGTTTTCACTGAAGAAGGCCCAATGTTCAGGTACTCTCCTGGAATGTATTAGTCCTTCACCATATACAGTGGGGGAAAAAAGTATTTAGTCAGCCACCAATTGTGCAAGTTCTCCCACTTAAAAAGATGAGAGAGGCCTGTAATTTTCATCATAGGTACACGTCAACTATGACAGACAAATTGAGGAAAAAAAATCCAGAAAATCACATTGTAGGATTTTTTATGAATTTATTTGCAAATTATGGTGGAAAATAAGTATTTGGTCACCTACAAACAAGCAAGATTTCTGGCTCTCACAGACCTGTAACTTCTTCTTTAAGAGGCTCCTCTGTCCTCAACTCGTTACCTGTATTAATGGCACCTGTTTGAACTTGTTATCAGTATAAAAGACACCTGTCCACAACCTCAAACAGTCACACTCCAAACTCCACTATGGCCAAGAACAAAGAGCTGTCAAAGGACACCAGAAACAAAATTGTAGACCTGCACCAGGCTGGGAAGACTGAATCTGCAATAGGTAAGCAGCTTGGTTTGAAGAAATCAACCGTGGGAGCAATTATTAGGAAATGGAAGACATACAAGACCACTGATAATCTCCCTCGATCTGGGGCTCCACGCAAGATCTCACCCCGTGGGGTCAAAATGATCACAAGAACGGTGAGCAAAAATCCCAGAACCACACGGGGGGACCTAGTGAATGACCTGCAGAGAGCTGGGACCAAAGTAACAAAGCCTACCATCAGTAACACACTACGCTGCCAGGGACTCAAATCCTGCAGTGCCAGGCGTGTACCCCTGCTTAAGCCAGTACATGTCCAGGCCCGTCTGAAGTTTGCTAGAGTGCATTTGGATGATCCAGAAGAGGATTGGGAGAATGTCATATGGTCAGATGAAACCAAAATATAACTTTTTGGTAAAAACTCAACTCGTCGTGTTTGGAGGACAAAGAATGCTGAGTTGCATCCAAAGAACACCATACCTACTGTGAAGCATGGGGGTGGAAACATCATGCTTTGGGGCTGTTTTTCTGCAAAGGGACCAGGACGACTGATCCGTGTAAAGGAAAGAATGAATGGGGCCATGTATCGTGAGATTTTGAGTGAAAACCTCCTTCCATCAGCAAGGGCATTGAAGGTGAAATGTGGCTGGGTCTTTCAGCATGACAATGATCCCAAACACACCGCCCGGGCAACGAAGGAGTGGCTTCGTAAGAAGCATTTCAAGGTCCTGGAGTGGCCTAGCCAGTCTCCAGATCTCAACCCCATAGAAAATCTTTGGAGGGAATTTAAAGTCCGTGTTGCCCAGCGACAGCCCCAAAACATCACTGCTCTAGAGGAGATCTGCATGGAGGAATGGGCCAAAATACCAGCAACAGTGTGTTAAAACCTTGTGAAGACTTACAGAAAACATTTGACCTGTGTCATTGCCAACAAAGGGTATATAACAAAGTATTGAGAAACTTTTGTTATTGACCAAATACTTATTTTCCACCATAATTTGCAAATAAATTCATAAAAAATCCTACAATGTGATTTTCTGGAGAAAAAAAATCTCATTTTGTCTGTCATAGTTGACGTGTACCTATGATGAAAATTACAGGCCTCTCTCATCTTTTTAAGTGGGAGAACTTGCACAATTGGTGGCTGACTAAATACATTTTTTCCCCACTGTACATTAGGATAAAAGCTTTACGTTTTGTTATCCAACAATTCTGTCTTAGGATAATAGTAACTAGATGGAAAAAACCTCCTAACCCTTATTTAAAGAAAGTTTGACTTCATAGCATTTTTTTGTGTATGTTAGGAGATACCGAAAAGTTTAACAAATTAAAGCAACTATTCTTATGTTGGCCAACTGCTGATAAACAATTAAATTCATAACTTACATACAGTGAGGGAAAAAAGTATTTGATCCCCTGCTGATTTTGTACGTTTGCCCACTGACAAAGAAATGATCAGTCTATAATTTTAATGGTAGGTTTATTTGAACAGTGAGAGACAGAATAACAACAAAAAATCCAGAAAAACGCATGTCAAAAATGTTATGAATTGATTTGCATTTTAATGAGGGAAATAAGTATTTGACCCCTCTGCAAAACATGACTTAGTACTTGGTGGCAAAACCCTTGTTGGCAATCACAGAGGTCAGACGTTTCTTGTAGTTGGCCACCAGGTTTGCACACATCTCAGGAGGGATTTTGTCCCACTCCTCTTTGCAGATCTTCTCCAAGTCATTAAGGTTTTGAGGCTGATGTTTGGCAACTCAAACCTTCAGCTCCCTCCACAGATGTTATATGGGATTAAGGTCTGGAGACTGGCTAGGCCACTCCAGGACCTTAATGTGCTTCTTCTTGAGCCACTCCTTTGTTGCCTTGGCCATGTGTTTTGGGTCATTGTCATGCTGGAATACCCATCCACGACCCATTTTCAATGCCCTGGCTGAGGGAAGGAGGTTCTCACCCAAGATTTGACGGTACATGGCCCCGTCCATTGTCCCTTTGATGCGGTGAAGTTGTCCTGTCCCCTTAGCAGAAAAACACCCCCAAAGCATAATGTTTCCACCTCCATGTTTGACGGTGGGGATGGTGTTCTTGGGGTCATAGGCAGCATTCCTCCTCCTCCAAACATGGCGAGTTGAGTTGATGCCAAAGAGCTCGATTTTGGTCTCATCTGACCACAACACTTTCACCCAGTTCTCCTCTGAATCATTCAGATGTTCATAGGCAAACTTCAGACGGGCCTGTATATGTACTTTCTTGAGCATGGGGACCTTGCGGGCGCTGCAGGATTTCAGTCCTTCACGGCGTATTGTGTTACCAATTGTTTTCTTGGTGACTATGGTCCCAGCTGCCTTGAGATCATTGATAAGATCCTCCCGTGTAGTTCTGGGCTGATTCCTCACCGTTCTCATGATCATTGCATCTCCACGAGGTGACATCTTGCATTGAGCCCCAGGCCGAGGGAGATTGACAGTTATTTTGTGTTTCTGCCATTTGCGAATAATCGCACCAACTGTTGTCACCTTCTCACCAAGCTGCTTGGCGATGGTCTTGTAGCCCATTCCAGCCTTGTGTAGGTCTACAATCTTGTCCCTGACATCCTTGGAGAGGTCTTTGGTCTTGGCCATGGTGGAGAGATTGGAATCTGATTGATTGATTGCTTCTGTGGACAGGTGTCTTTTATACAGGTAACAAGCTGAGATTAGGAGCACTCCCTTTAAGAGTGTGCTCCTAATCTCAGGTCGTTACCTGTATAAAAGACACCTGGGAGCCAGAATTCTTTCTGATTGAGAGGGGGTCAAATACTTATTTCCCTCATTAAAATGCAAATCAATTTATAACATTTTTGACATGCGTTTTTCTGGATTTTTTTGTTGTTATTCTGTCTCTCACTGTTCAAATAAACCTACCATTAAAATTATAGACTGATCGTTTCTTTGTCAGTGGGCAAACGTACAAAATCTGCAGGGGATCAAATACCTTTTTCCCTCATTGTACGCTAAACCCATTCTGTCTTCTTTTCATGCCGTCCCTAGCATGTCTCCCCCAGGGCGCTACGAGTGCACAGTATCAGGGCTCCGGTGGGTGTGTAAAACCCATGTCATTCTGACGTCTCAATTCAGCTCCTGGGAGCCTCACAGGGCAATGATGAAAAGCTTGGGGTACAAGCAAGGAGGCCCCCTACTGGACGTCACAATCATTTTAGGAGAACTGGAAGAAGTGCAGCTGCCACATTTTGCGTGTTTTGGTATGGGCGTATATGTTTATTACTCAAATATAACTGATGCAAACTACTTTTAAAAATCCTTGTTGATGTCAACCTAATGTTTATGCAAATGTACTGTTTTTGCCTCTGTAGGCGATGATCCCTCCTTTAAAGAGAAAGTGAGAGTTCTACATGTAGAAGACTGTAGCGTGTCCATAGTAAAAGTGGATGAAGTCACCCGCTTCCACGTCAAGATCCTCCATCCATCCTTCTCTCCAAAAGGAGTTCTCATGAGATCTGGCCTTCGGGTGAAAGTGCACTGTGAATTGCTGCTCTACCAGGCCAAGACAGAGTTCTTCACGCTACATGCATTGCTGGTCCCCTGTGATTCCTCTGTAGAACAGGTTATTTCAGCTTATTCTTCTCCTCTGTGGTTAAATAATCTCTTAATGGTATCAATGCAGATAATATCAGTGGATTTATAAAATATACATTTAATATATAGTGTATAATTGTCTAGATATTGCCAAGCTCCTATTCAGTGCTTGCCTCAGGTAGGAACTCAACGGAGCTGACTACCAGCACCTCAAATGTTCTACTATTGAGCTCCTGTTCCTCATATAGAATATTAGCTCAAACATATTGCTCCTGAACCTAAATATTAACGGTACCGGCACCCAAAATGAGTAAAGCACTGCCTATACGATTCCCACAGGTGGAACAGTAGTTTATTTTCCATCCAAAAGCAGCAACATTTTGTTGACATGTGGTGTTGGGAAACCTTGGGGGTAAGAGTCCGATATGGTGTTGGGAAACCTTGGGGGTAAGAGTCCGATATGGTGTTGGGAAACCTTGGGGGTAAGAGTCCGATATGGTGTTGCTGTGTCTAAACGTCTTGCGGCAGTTTTTCTCGTTGTTGCCGGGTACTTCAGTTTAGAATATATTATAAATCTCCGGCGCATAACAGCGCCGGAGAAGATGGCTGCCGTTTTACAGCCCTCTAACCAATTGTACTATTATGTGTGTTTTTCCGCGTTATTTGTAATTTATTTTGTACATAATGTTTCTGCCATTGTCTCTTATAACCAAAAAGAGCTTCTGGATATCAGGACAGCGATTACTCACCTCGAATTGGACGAAGATTTTTTCTTCAACGAGGCGGCCGCGAAGGATATCATACAGACACCCGACAAGGCCCAAATCCCCGTCATTCGTGTGAGGAAGAGACAGAGATATCGTGGACGTAGATCGGGGTGCCTTGTAAGGATCCGACGGCGAGCGAGTAAACTGCCTCTTCCATCAATCCTATTAGCCAATCTTCAATCATTGGATAACAAATTGGATGACCTAAGATTACGGTTATCCTACCAACGGGACATTAAAAACTGTAATATCTTATGTTTCACCGAGTCGTGGCTGAACGACGACATGGATAACATACAGCTAGCTGGCTATACGCTACATCGGCAGGATAGAACGGCTGACTCCGGTAAGACAAGGGGTGGCGTTCTGTGAATATTTGTAAACAACAGCTGGTGCACAAAATCAAATACTAAGGAAGTCTCGAGGTTTTGCTCGCCTGAGGTAGAGTATCTTATGATAAGCTGTAGACCACACTATTTACCAAGAGAGTTTTCATCTATATTTTTCATAGCTGTCTATTTACCACCACAAACCAATGCTGGCATTAAGATTGCACTGAATGAGTTGTACAAGGCCATAAATCAACAGGAAAACGCTCATCCAGATGCAGCGCTCCTAGTGGCCGGGGACTTTAATGCAGGGAAACTTAAATCCGTTCTACCTAATTTCTACCAGCATGTTAAATGTGCAACCAGAGGAAAAAAAACTCTAGACCACCTTTACTCCACACACAGAGACGCATACAAAGCTCTCCCTCGCCCTCCATTTGGCAAATCTGACCATAACTCTATCCTCCTGATTCCTGCTTATAAGCAAAAACTAAAGCAGGAAGCACCAGTGACTCGGTTAATAAAAAAGTGGTCAGATGACGCAGATGCTAAGCTACAGGACTGTTTTGCTAGCACAGACTGGAACATGTTCCGGGATTCTTCAGACAGCATTGAGGAGTACACCACATCAGTCACTGGCTTCATCAATAAGTGCATCGATGATGTCGTCCCCACAGTGACCGTACGTACATACCCCAACCAGAAGCCATGGATTACAGGAAACATCCGCACTGAGCTAAAGGGTAGAGCTGCCGCTTTCAAGGAACGGGACTCTAACCCGGACGCTTATAAGAAATCCCGCTATGCCCTCCGACGAATCATCAAACAGGCAAAGAGTCAATACAGGACTAAGATTGAATCGTACTACACTGGCTCTGACGCTCGTCGGATGTGGCAGGGCTTGAAAACTATTACAGACTTCAAAGGGAAGCACAGCCGCGAGCTGCCCAGTGACACAAGCCTACCAGACGAGCTAAACCACTTCTATGCTCGCTTCGAGGCAAGCAACACTGAAGCATGCATGAGAGCACCAGCTGTTCCGGATGACTATGTGATCACGCTCTCCGTAGCCGATGTGAGTAAGACTTTTAAGCAGGTCAACATTCACAAGGCCGCAGGGCCAGACGGATTACCAGGACGTGTACTCCGAGCATGTGCTGACCAACTGGCAAGTGTCTTCACTGACATTTTCAACATGTCCCTGACTGAGTCTGTAATACCAACATGTTTCAAGCAGACCACCATAGTCCCCGTGCCCAAGGACTCTAAGATAACCTGCCTAAATGACTACCGACCCGTAGCACTGACGTCTGTAGCCATGAAGTGCTTTGAAAGGCTGGTCATGGCTCACATCAACAGCATTATCCCAGAAACCCTAGACCCACTCCAATTTGCATCCCGCCCCAACAGATCCACAGATGATGCAATCTCTATTGCACTCCACACTGCCCTTTCCCACCTGGACAAGAGGAACACCTATATGAGAATGCTATTCATTGACTACAGCTCAGCATTCAACACCATAGTGCCCTCTAAGCTCATCACTAAGCTAAGGATCCTGGGACTAAACACCTCCCTCTGCAACTGGATCCTGGACTTCCTGACGGGCCGCCCCCAGGTGGTAAGGGTAGGTAACAACACATCTGCCACACTGATCCTCAACACGGGGGCCCTTCAGGGGTGCGTGCTCAGTCCCCTCCAGTACTCTCTGTTCACCCATGACTGCATGGCCAGGCACGACTCCAACACCATCATTAAGTTTGCCGACGACACAACAGTGGTAGGCCTGATCACCGACAACGATGAGACAGCCTATAGGGAGGAGGTCAGAGACCTGGCCGTGTGGTGCCAGGACAACAACCTCTCCCTCAACGTGACCAAGACAAAGGAGATGATTGTGGACTACAGGAAAAAAAAGAGGACTGAGCATGCCCCCATTCTCATCGACGGGCTGTAGTGGAACAGGTTGAGAGCTTCAAGTTCCTTGGTGTCCACATCACCAACGAACTATCATGGTCCAAACACACCAAGACAGTCGTGAAGAGGGCACGACAAAGCCTATTCCCCCTCAGGAGACTGAAAAGATTTGGCATGGGTCCTCAGATCCTCAAAAAATTCTACAGCTGCACCATCGAGAGCATCCTGACTGGTTGCATCACCGCCTGGTATGGCAACTGCTTGGCCTCCGACCGCAAGGCACTACAGAGAGTAGTGCGTACGGCCCAGTACATCACTGGGGCCAAGCATCCTGCCATCCAGGACCTCTATACCAGGCGGTGTCAGAGGAAGGCCCTCAAAATTGTCAAAGACTCCAGCCACCCTGGTCATAGATTGTTCTCTCTGCTACCGCACGGCAAGCGGTACCGGAGTGCCAAGTCTAGGTCCAAAAGACTTCTCAACAGCTTCTACCCCCAAGCCATAAGACTCCTGAACAGCTAATCATGGCTACCCGGACTATTTGCACTGCCCCCCCACCCCATCCTTTTGACGCTGCTGCTACTCTGTTAATTATTTATGCATAGTCACTTTAACTCTACCCACATGTACATATTACTTCAACTACCTCAACTAGCCGGTGCCTCCGCACATTGACTCTGCACCGGTACCCCCCTGTATATATAGCCTCCCTACTGTTATTTTATTTTACTTCTGCTCTTTTTTTTCTCAACACTTTTTTTGTTGTTGTTTTATTTTTTACTTTTTTTGTTAAAAATAAATGCACTGTTGGTTAAGGGCTGTAAGTAAGCATTTCACTGTAATGTCTGCACCTGTTGTATTCGGCGCATGTGACCAATAAAATTTGATTTGATTTGATTTGATTTGATAAATCAATTTCACACCACAACATCCAACTAAATGTAATGTCTGAATGGTTTTGATAAGGATATGTTGTCTTATGCTTCTTTAGGCAATGAAGAAAAAGGAGCAGTCTTATGGATACAGGAGTATCAGAAAGCTGCAACCAGTGAAGTCCCTTCGGATGAAGGATTGGTTCAGCCTCACAACATCATCTCCCTCTTCTGAAGTTAAACCTCCTGTATGGGTTGACCTCCCTCAGAATATCAATCTAATCCAAAAAGCAATAGCAATTTTAACATCCTAATAAAACAACCAAAAAAACAACCACCCTCTCTCATCTACTGTCTCCACAGAAAATGAAGCTGAGGTATGACAACACTACACCAAACTTCTTTGACGTGTTCATAGAAGATGCAGATGTTGACTTCGGTATGAAGCTAATCAGTGATGTGGAGGGGGAAATCGTATTGGATCACACAATACAAAAAGGTCAGAAATAGATCATGTAAAAAAGATCATGCATTGACTAAACATGCACCATGTCAGTTAAAGTCAAAGATAATAATTCCATTTAATTTTTTTCCCCAGGCGACTATAGAGACTAAACCACTCAGAATTCACAAAGTAAGCACTTTGTGGACCTCCACCAGACAGACCTGATCGACAGAGTGAGCCAGGTGGACCCCATCTTGGACAGACTCCTAAAGAGTGGAGTCATCACTGCCACTGGCTACAGTGACATGAGATCTGAAAGAACCAAACAGAAGAATATTAGGGAGGTCTTTGATGGGCCCCTGAAAGGATGTGGTCCCAATGGCAAATATATTTTCTTAGAGATCCTGAAGGAGCAGGAGCCATTTCTAATCAAAGAACAGAAGGGTGAATGAGAAGCTGGGAAGGTGAATGTATTTGAAGTTTTATTTTAGGGGAAAGGGCATGAATGACAGACTCCTAGAGAGGGGTGTTATCAGTGACGAGGCCTATGAAAAGTTGAGGGCACCACCCAGGACCAGATTAGGGCACTCTACTCAGAACCTCTAAAGTCAAGGGACACCAAAGACACTTTCTACAGTATGTGATTCATCCCTGATCCATGAACTATAGGAAAAGGGAGTGGGAGATGTGGAAGTGTTTCTAAAAAAGGGGCATAAATCTTTCACTTTGTTTCTTTATGTGTTCATGACTTTGTGAAAATACTCACAAATGTTTACAAGAAAAAACTTTTTTTTGTTAAGGGGGGTTGGAGTTTTTATAGAGTTTGAATATAATTTTATTTATTTATTTTCATTTATTTAGAGACAAGAAAATATATAAAGGAAAGATTATACAAAGAAAATTGTAATGACTTCATTTAGGCAACTATGTGAATGACAAGTCAATTATAAGTTATAAAACATTATTGTTTTTATCATCCATACTGTGCAGGAAGCTCCTCCTAAGCATCAATATGACTACCCCCCTGTATATAGCCTCCCTACTGTTATATGACTACCCCCCTGTATATAGCCTCCCTACTGTTATATGACTACCCCCCTGTATATAGCCTCCCTACTGTTATATGACTACCCCCCTGTATATAGCCTCCCTACTGTTATATGACTACCCCCCTGTATATAGCCTCCCTACTGTTATATGACTACCCCCCTGTATATAGCCTCCCTACTGTTATATGACTACCCCCCCTGTAATATAGCCTCCCTACTGTTATATGACTACCCCCCCTGTAATATAGCCTCCCTACTGTTATATGACTACCCCCCTGTATATAGCCTCCCTACTGTTATTTTATTTTACTGCTGCTCTTTAGCTATTTGCTTCAATTTTTTTACTTAACACTTTTTTTATTTTACTTTTGTATTTTAAAAGAAAATGCATTGTTGGTTAAGGGCTTGTAAGTAAGCATTTCACTGTAATGTCTACAACTGTTGTATTCGGCACATGTGGCAAATAAAACTTGATTTGATTTGACTAACTCTTAGGAGTGGTTTTGTTTGTGTCTTGTAAAGTATTGCATTAAGGCAAACCCCTTGCCACATCTGTTGCATACAAACTTCCTTTATTTCTGATGTGTTTTCTGATGCCCTTTAATGTTACTTAGCTGGGCGAAATCTTTCCGTCATTCTTCACAAGCTTCTCCTCTGTGTGGATTCGCTGATGGACTTCCAGCTCTTTTGGAAATGAAAAGGCCTTCCAACACTCGTAACAGTAGTGAGGCTTCACCCCAGTGTCTCTTCTTGTGTTTTCTGAGCGTCCCTTTTTCAGCGGATCTGTAATCACACTTGCTGCCACATACACTACATTACCAAAAGTATGTGGACACCTGCTCCTCGAACATCTCATTCAATAATCATGGGCATTAATATGGAGTTGGTCCCCTATTTGCTGCTATAACAGCCTCCAGTCTTCTGGGAAGGCTTTCCACTATATGTTGGAACATTGCTGCGGGGACTTGCTTCCATTCAGCCACAAGAGCATTAGTGAGGCCGGCACTGATGTTGGGCGATTGGGCCTGGCTCGCAGTCGGCGTTCCAATTCATCCCAAAGGTGTTCGATGGGGTTGAGGTCAGGGCTCTGTGCAGGCCAGTCAAGTTCTTCCACCCCAATCTCAACAAACCATTTCTGTATTGACCTCACATTTTGCACAGGGGCATTGTCATGCTGAAACAGGAAAGGGCCTTCCCCAAACTGTTGCCACAAAAGTTGGAAGCACAGAATCGTCTAGAATTTCATTGTATGCTGTAGCATTAAGATTTCCCTTCACTGGAACTAAGGGGCCTAGCCCGAACCATGAAAAACAGCTCCAGACCATTATTCCTCCTCCACCAAACTTTACAGTACACACTGGGGCATGGTTTCCCACATACTGGATATTAAAATGGCTTCAGTCCTATGTGTCTGCACATGGGTGTTTAAATTAGACGACCGGGTGAACCGTTTCCCACAGAGTTTACAACCGCATGGCCGCTTTCCCGTGTGCATCAGGATGTGTAGTTTTAAGCATGTGGATGTATTATTATTTTTACACATATTTAACCCATTTGTTTGGGTAGGCACAAAACTACCTCCATACTTCCATTCATTTTTTTACACCTAGTCCCGTGGGGCTTGTGGTGGTCATAGAGCTAAACTGAGAACACTATCGTTTAGATCAGGGGTGGGCTAACCTTTTGGCTCAAGGGCCACATAGAATTTTTGAAATCAAGTGAAGGGCCACGTACTACATGCGTGACAAAACATGTGAAGCCTTTATTCATTTTTACATTGACACGCAACTACTAGTGTACTGTAGGTGTACATATGCTTGCAGAACAATTCTACCCTTGTTTCTTGTGAACACATTTGTCACAAAATTGATATAATTTATATCACAGACACAGTCAAACACACACACAGATCCTGCATCTCTACCCTTGTAAAGTACAATCAAACTTACAGTCACATTATGCAAACTTAAAAATAGATATATATTATATGACTGGAGACATGCTAAATGTAACAGCAGATGTGTAAAAAATATATATATATTCTAAAATATGAGTGAAACATATGTTAAGAGCGTCCGTTTCATTTGGAATGGTCTGTTTTTGAAAGCATATTAAGGAACAATTCTCATCTGCATTGTGAGCCATTGTAGTGTATGAAAAATTATGACTTTGCTAATGTTTTCAAGTGGAACCTGAGAGGAGGTTTATTCAGTTTTAGAGGGAGCCGTTTTAGAGTGACACACCATAGAACAGAGGAAGTCTGTTAGGTGTCCTCCTGGGATTGGTCTGTAGGGGAACACCCATATCAGATTACATAGGATATATACCACAGTGAGGACAGAGGAGAAGCAGAATAATCATATTAGAGATGGGGCGATTATTCTCCGGGTATCTGCAGGTATCTGTAAATCGACGCTGTAACCCTTTGTTATGAATAAACCTTATGATGAAAATACAGCGTCAGCGGGTCCTCCTTGTCACCACAGCATAATTAGCAACGTTAACTCGACACTACAAAATGGCGGCGAGGATTTGGAAGGTATTGCGTTTTTCCTCAGCGTTTCATTCATGGGCGCCGAGCTGACTCTGGCTCCAGAGGCAGATAAGGGTGAGTTTGTCACTACTTTGGGCTCTGGTCAGTTCGTGTGTCTGTGTGTGTGCGTTGAAAGAATGCACCGTTAAAGAACTTGCGTGTGTGCGTTGCTGATGTGCTGTGAGATAGGAGTCCGTTCTAAATTTGTTTGCGCTGGTAAACAACGCAAAAAGGGGGGAGTGTCTATAGGGATATTTTGCTTGAATAGAAGTTCAAGAAGAATAGATTGAGAGGAATAAGGCCTAGGCATATGTGTGTAACTTAGAACCGCTACGAATCTACGTTAGCCCTCTTGATGAGGCAATCTCTAGGATGGGCCAAAAAATCCTATAACACGTTAGGTGAAGTAGGTAAGTCCATGGGACTTGAGGCTGTGGTATATTTTGATTGTATGTTACCGCTCAGCTTGTGGTTGACGAATCATTTGTTTGATGTAACCGCTCATTAGATTTCCGGCGGGACCTCGTGGTAGCAGAAATTTAGAGAAACAAAGGAATTTTACGACGTGGCGGAGGTAGAAATGCTAAATGCGGCATGCTAAATGCTTCATGTTACATGCTAACTTATACATGCTACATGCTAATTTATACATGCTACATGCTAATTTGATGCGTGCCGTGTGCTGTATTTTTACCTTGGAGGTCCATTGGAATGGATCGAGGCCAGTACTGTTTTATTTACAAAAACCTTGCCTTCCCATAAAGGATATGTTGTGTGCCTAGCTTAATTGATGTTATGACAATTTGACAAGGACTTGGCAAAAGACTGATCAATTGATGAAAATAAAAATTGCATTTTGGAGTTTTTGTGCATGAGTGGGTTTGATTAGAGTTGAGTGGGGGAATCAAGTACTGACATTATTCTGTAAAATTAAGGATAATTGGGTGCTTATTAAGCAATGGGTTTATGAGTATTGTAGTGTTGTAGGATTAGAAGTCTTTATTTTTTGGATTGCTCTGAAGTTGACTACTTTCATTTACTTTTCTGATTGGATGTGGTAAGGTTGCCACTAATCAATAATTTGGTAAAATAAAATAAAATGAATAGATAAATAAATTGATGAATAAATTAATTGATTAATTAATTAATTTGGGGAAGAAGAAAAAAAAATAGAAAGAGAGAAAAAAATAGGGAGGAAGCCATGGGCTATATAGTCTAAAATAGAAATAATTTACAATAAAGGAATATAAAATAGTTGTTACATGGGGGGAAAAAGGACATCAGAACTATGAAAGTAATTACACCTGTTGATATAGTTGAAAATAGTAAACATTGCAATACCATTAGCTAAAAGTTATCTGGAAAAGGGAATAAAAGTTGGCCTGACATTGAACAACCATAGCCAGTGGAGGGAATCTTAACCCTGACGTCATCAACATGATGAAAGTGATTGAATAATAGAGAGAGGAGAAGCAGAAAGGACCATAAATATGAATCCATAACTCCAAAAGGAAGAAAATGAGATGTCTGGAAGAGAAGAGTGAGGTTAAGGAAGATGGAACTTGAAGAAGAAGATGAAGAAGAAGATGATGATGATGATGATGATGAGAGTGATTGAGAAGAGATCATGGGTGGATATGACTCTGTGATTAGAAGGAAGTTGGCAAGAGAGGAAAGAAGAAGGATACTAGAGATTTGATCTCTGATGGAAGTTGAAGGAGGAAGAAGGATACTAGAGATTTGATCTCTGAGGAAAATGAAGATGAAGACAGCGATGAAGATTTGGAGATTAAAGGTGCTTTATGTTCAAGAGGATTTTATTCTACAATGATTAGTAAAGAAGAAATAGAAAGAGATATAG